GTCTTTTGCCTTTTCTCTTCTTAGTTTCCTCCATCAATGTCCTGTTAGGTCTCTTTGGCCCTTCCATGTCCGCAGATGCTGCTAAACATGGATTTTTCAGGCAGGAATCAACTCTCCGCCTGCGTATCCGCTTGGTCCTCACTGCGCTGCTTATGTGAACAGACAGGAAGACAGGCACAAGTTAACACCAGACATGTGTGGTAACCATGGAAACCTGTTCGTGCAGCAGAAGCGTTTCCATGGTTACTCGACAATTGGCAATCCTGATCTTTGATACCATACTAAGAGACTGGTGTTGTTGATTGTTATTGCCCCGATGGTTAAACAGTAACGTCAGAAAACGTACAAACCAGCATCTGGACAGTCATCCATTTGCCATTATCAGTAAGGTAGTTAGTGCTTAGTGGTTGACTTTTTTAACTAACCCACTTTAACTAAAGCTTTCTGTCCATCAGGAAACTCCAGGGGACATCAGAGGGAAAACAAGAAAACATTTCTGATCCAGTTTCACCAAAATCATAGTTACATTGCAACATTGCAAGAACATGGGGAGCAAAGTGGGAATGACAGAGGCACAATTCACCCTATTACAACTCAGTGTAGCATCAAAATGATTTTTAAGCTGTTATTTTACTTTATTTTAAGTAGAAAAGTTGCATAATGGGGCTTTAATGGTCAGAAATTAATGGTCCTATAAGTATTTAGTTAGCACATTAACTACAATTTGCCATGAATAACTTAAAATGTACTTCACTATTAACACAGACACTATTAAACTCAAATAGGGATCATATCAGAAGAAAAATGAAAATATCTATTAATTAATTAATTTTGGACTTGTGGTTTTTAACATCCTTACTGGTTTTTATTTATGTAACACAGAGGAAACGATCCTCACCACAACAGGTGCTTCCTCATCCACTTAGCAAACTGAAGCTTTAGGCTGAAAGCTAATTCTCAAACACCAGCTCTGGTGATACACAATAATACATTACACAAAAACAGGCTGGAGAAACTGGATTTGTATACTTTCAACAATAATAAATAAATAAAATGTTTCACAAAATGTTTAAAAGCCCATTTAACTGCTGTTTTAAAATTCTAATTCAC